TCAGGGCACAGAGGCAAAAAGGGCAAAGTTTTCAAGCCATTCATGGCAAAGGATCACCACTGAGATTTTCTGTGTTGGTTTTGTTGTTGGGTTTTTTTAAAGTATATACATACACCTACATGTAAACACACTTACAATGAAATCAGAACATGTACCTTGAAGTTATTTATGCAATCTCTATAGGTTTAGTCATCATAGACAAAAACATTGCATCCATCTGTCATGCTGGATCAGATAACCGATCCCTCAAACCTAATAACTACTTCTGGAAAGCAGAAAAAACACACTTGCTTAATTCTGCCTCTTAAAGATACAGCTACTTGTCTCAGTGAGGACACACAGGAGCCACCAAGGTCCAAAAGGACCACAGGGCATCAAAGGTTTGTTTCAGGTCTCTTCAAAAAAAAAAAAAAAAAAAAAAACTCAATCACCAGGAAACATACAAGGATAAAACACCAAGAGGCTCTCCTGGCGAGCTGCCCAAAAGTCAGCCACAAGAACTGACCCTAAAAGAGGTCATATCTAGTACAGCTCTTCCGCATCCACCATCACCCCAGCACAACAAAACCTCCAGCACTCCCAAGGGCACTGGGAGCAAACAGCTCAGACACTACATACCTCATGGTGGTGCTTTGCGGACCTTCATCAAATGGGGGTCACACAGCAGACTCTGCAGGCTTTCATCCCAACAAGGATCACACAATGGGCTCTACAGACCTTCATCCTAGCTGGGATCACACCACAGCTCTGCAGACCTTCATCCCAGCGGGGACCACACAGCAGGCTCTGTAGACCTTGATCCCAACGAGGACCACACAGCAGGCTCTGCAGACCTTCCTCAAACGGGGATCACAATATGGGCTCCGCAAACCTCTGTCCCAAAGAACTCACACTGGGGCTCTGCAGGCTTCATCACAGCAGAACCCGCACAAAACAGGTTCTGCATGCCTTCATCACAATGGAAGTCCCTCTCTAGGGTTCGTCACACCCTCCCCACCATGGAACGCCCGCAAGGCAGGGCTCTGTGCCCCTTTTTGCCACGCCAGCTGGGGATGGCAGCGGGCAACTGCGGGAGCTGTGGGGCGACCGTGCTTCAACCGCCGCCGCCCTGCAAAGCCACGTAACCCCCCAAATCTGCTCTTTATTGGGAACACGTGTGCCTGCCAGAGAGCTCCGGCCCAGCTGTCCGACCCTGGGCCGGGGCGGCGCCGGCCACAGGTGCCTTGGCTTTGCCAATTGCCCGGCCTGCGGGGCTGAGTGTGGAGCGGCTCTGAAGATTCCAGGAGCCCAGGGCTGGGGCTGCCCGCAGCGGGTCCCGCACAGCCACCGGCCCAGAGAGCGGCAGGATCCCCGGGCTGGGGCTGCCCGCAGCGGATGCCGCACAGCACCAGCCCCGGATGGCGGTAGAAGCTCCGGCCCGGGGCTGCCCGCAGCGGGTCCCGCACAGTACCAGCCCCGGATGGCGGTAGAAGCTCCGGCCCGGGGCTGCCCGCAGCGGGTTCCGCACAGCCAGCGGCCCGGGGCGGCCACCAGAGGGGGACAGAGCACCGCACTGGGCCGGGCCGGGCCGGGCCGCGCTCCCCGGGCCCACCGCGGCCCTCCTGGCCCGGCCCCACGCCCTCCGCCGTGCCCGGGCCGGCAAGGGGCACATGGCAGCCTCAAAGGGCTGCAGGAGGTTCCCCTGCTCCCCGCGGTCCCCCCGTGTTTGGGGTGTTGCTGTAGGGTCTGCCCGCTCTATTGGGATCCCTCCCGAACCTACCGCTGACCCCAGCATCGCTGTCTGATCAAGCACCACAAATAATGTTGTTTATTTAAAAAATACTGGAGCGGCTCTTTGCCATAAGTGACAAGTCATTATTTAATTCCTTTGGTATTCGCGGAAATAACATCAATCAACATGAATGCATCTGCTAGCTAAATATGAATGTAATCATCCATTAAAATGTTAACATTTATGAAAACTGTTTATTAAAATAAAGTTATAAGAATCTCATTGTGGTTTGATAATCAGCTAATGTCCCCTTAAGGCAGAATTTGAACGTTCGATGTTTGGAACTAGATAACATTTTAAATGCCCCATCAGTTTATAACTCCAGTTATTCTGAACCGTGATTAAGCCTTTGTGTTGCAGCCCTGGAAACAGATGTCCTTTTTTTATCCTTGTGCCCTGTGCAAAATGGGCCATCCTCCTTCCCTAAAAACCCCAAATTCAGATAAAGAACCAAAGAGGTGAATGTATGGAGATAAACTGAAATCCAAATGAGGTGGGGATCTAGTAGGGCTTGTGTGAGAACAAGTGCTGAGTTTGGAGAGCCCTTTCCTTTTGGTGTGGTGATACTGGAGAGAGTGACAGGGGAACATCCTTGGTACAATGGGCTATGCCCAAGGAGACACTGATGGGACCAAGAAGCCATCCACGTACCCAAACATGCCTGCAGCTGTGGTCACACAAACCACGCTCTGTCCTTGTCCCTGTGTACATCCCAGCTGGCATCCCTGCTTGGATATGCACGTTGGCATCCTCCACCTCAAACCCAGCCCCTTTTCCAGGAAGAGAGATGTAATATATGTAATTAGGTACCATTTTGCTGTAAGACAGCTGCCAGCCATCAGCAGGTTTCATTTTGAGTCATTCTTTCTATCAAGCCTATCCCAGGTCTGCTGTGCTGTGCAGAAGCCCCATCTCCCCAGGCAGCTCTCTGTGTGCCCAGCCTGGCATGCAGGAACTGCACTGTGCTTTCATGTGCACTGAGATTTTTGGCCTTCTCTGTTCTGGTAACTCTTCACCTCAGATTCAGATGTGACTTTGACAAATTCAGTTGGCACCTGTTTGGTCCATCCAGCATTCCAACAGACAGCTCTGAGGGGAGCCAGGCTCCTAATTCCTGCTATGCTTTAATCTCCAGGCTCAAGCCAGCTCTGGCCTATCTGCATAGAAAGCTCATGTGTGCCATTGTCCTTGACAGGTACAGTTTGATCCTAAAGGACTGTCTTCACCACAGTTAATAATGAATCATAATGAATAGACTTCATAACAACTTACTCAGGAACTGAACTGTTTCAGACACCCCCAAAATTGGTATGATTAGTCATAAAATCCTGTGTTGAAATATGAAACATCCAACACTGTGTGGGAATAAGAGAATTTTGTATCTTAATCTGGTTTTCTGTGTACTCTTAAAAATCTTGAGAACTCTTAACACCTAAATAGGGACTTTACAAATTTCTGAGTTTCAGCTGTTTTGGTTGAGTTTAGTAAACTGCAGTTTCATAATTCCCAGTCAATTCAGCTATAAACCCCCAATCACTGCCAATTCATTACATATTAGTTTTACGAGAATAGATCCAAATTCCTTTGATAACCACGAGGAAACTCTGAGCACTGTCTTTGTTCTGGAGAATTTCCACTATCATTCAGCATTAGTCAAGCACTAATGGACATTAAAAAATAAAGAATTGCTCTAGACTGTAAAATATACATAATTTCAACTTTCCCATGTGACTGATGCCTTGAGAAATTGACTGACATAGCTATAACAAAATAATTATCCTGTTATAGCTGTGCCTTTATAACTTCTCCACATGGACACTCTATTCTAAAATTTAAGTGACTTTATTACAGAATAATTACTCAAGGACTTTAGACCAGAATGAGGTTCTGCACAGGAGAGTTCTGCCGGTGTGGCTCTGGTGATTTAAATTCACCATACTAAGCAGGTAAATTTTGCTGTGCAGACTCTCAGGAGAGCCTGCCAGCAGTATTAGATAAGACATCCCAATTCTGTATTATCTGAAAATTGAACTTCTGCACTGTACAGGGCATAGCATCCTATTTTGAATGCATTGTCAAACAGGCTGGGCTTTTGCCTCCCAAGGGAATGTCTTCTTGATGCTCAGAAGGAAGGACAGACAGGCATCACTCAGTTGTAGAGAAAAGAAGTGAGGATAAACCCAGAGTCACATTTTCCAAGTGCTATCACTTCCATTTGCAAACATGAACTCTGATGTTCAGCCTTCCCACCCACTTTTTGGCTAGAAAAACACACCTCTGAGGCCAAATTCCTTTTTCCTTGCTGGTATTCTCCTGATGGGCTCTCAGGAAGAAGGGTTACCCAGCTGGCCTTTCAGACACACCATGCTCCTATTCAGGACATGCTGCCTGCCGAGCCCTGGGCTCCTCTGCCCGCTCCTGGCTGCCAGCCCGCACTGCCTGAGTCACCCTGGCCACAAATTATTCATTCGAGCCACCGAGCATCGTCACAAGCCGCATTCTTTTAACAAGACTTCACACGCCTCTGCTGCTTGCAAATGTCGTGATGATTCGGGTCATGGGGACACGGCGAGAACCTTAAGTGTGGAAGGCACAAGGGACTCGCAGCTTCCTCCTCCTCCTCCTCTCGCCCTGGAACAGGGAGCTGTGTTAGCCTGATCTCGGCAGCAGCAGGAACAGCTCGGTGTCTGCACAGAGACCACCCGGGAACCTTGGGTGCTCCAGGCACAGAGTCATTTACCACGTGTTTGAAATTGAACTAGTGGAAAGATCTTGTTCGGTCCCAAAACACAGCTGAGCTAACACACAGGAATCAAAGGAAACAAGCAGCCCTATTAACAGCAGGATCAGTGAAGCCTGGTTTGCTGCGCATTTGTCTTTCAAAGTTGAGCTCCTCTGTGGATTCCCTCGTGCCTACAGACTGAGTTTGTGCCTTTTATTTGATGGACAAGTGTACTGGGTTTGCATGACAAGGTTTTGGTGGCAGGGGGGCTGCAGAGGTGGCTTCTGTGAGGAGCTGCCAGAAGCCTCCCCTGTGTCCAACAGAGTCAGAGCCAGCTGGCTCCAAGACGAACCCACCACTGGCCAAGGCTCAGCCCATCAGCAACACGGGTAAAGCCTCTGAGAGTTAAAAAGGGGATTTAAAAAGGGGTGGTGGGGAGGGGAAGGGGGGTGGGAGTGCCTGTGCAACTGCAGCTGGAGAAAGAAGCAAGAGAAACAGCTCTGTAGGTATCAAGGTCAGTGAAGGGGGAGGAGGTGCTCCAGGCACCGGAGTAGAAATTCCTTTGCATCCCATAATGAATGATGACCATGGTGAGGCAGGCTGTTCACATGCAGCCCATAAAGGTCCATGATGGAGCAGATGCTCACCTGTAGCCTGGGGAAGACCCCACACTGGAGCAGGAGGATGCCCAAAGGAGGCAATGACCTTGTGGGAATTCTGTGGTGGAGCAGGTTTGCTGGCAGGTCTTGTGCTCTCCCTGGCATCCCTGAGAGGGTCAGCTTTCCACTGAGCTGTGGAGCACTTCACAGGACAGCTTGGTGGGGAACTGGGCTGGAGAGATGGGAGAAAATATTTTTTTGCAGATCTCTTCTTAGTCCAAAATCAGGGGGAGTAGCTATACATAGGACATCCTGTTTCAAAAGAGATTTCTTAAAAGCAATTCTTTTCTCCCCCAGAAATTTTGACACTTGCCATTCTGGACTCTACTCACCATAAGTTTGTAATGGAAAAAGAGTTCTGTAGCATTAGAAAGCAGGGAAATACTGAACAGTTCTTGCCTTGCAGCTAAGTGTGATCCAGGCAGGGATTTCACTTCTGAAAGTTCGGTTTTTGTTTTGTGTTTGTGTTAAAGAGCCTGAGAACCCATACTTGATAAGGTCAAGCAAGCCCAGCAGGGTGGGTACAATGCTCTTCTCCCCTCCCAGATCCCAGGCACAGCCCAGACCACTCTGTGTGTGTCTGCCTCTGAATTATTTAACTGTCCAGCTGGTTAAAAATAGCACAGCAGCAGCTCCCGCTCCAGCCTGTGACTGTTAAATGGGCCATCAGAGCCCAGCCAAGGCCGAGGTCGTGGCCTGGGTTGCACATGTGGCCAGGGTGAGCTGGATGCCAGAGGGAGGGAGAAGCATGTCGCCACAAAGCCTGGTTCCAGCACAATGATATCAGCCTGTGAAAGAAAGGCAAGGCAAACTCAGAACACCATGGAGCTGCCAAAGAAAACACTCTCTTCACAATGAACAAAAGTCTGATTAATTATTAATTGCCTGGCAGCTAATTAGCATTCCCTTGGGCAGCTGTCTACAGAGTGCCTTATATTTCCAACACACCGTGGGCCAACATCATCGATGCAAATGGCTTTGGATCAGAGTTAGCAACTCATTTGTTGCCTGAAACAAGTGTTCCCCTCCCATCTCCCCATCTCCTCCTGTCACCTCTCTTTTCTCCACCCAGGGACTTGGGCTCATTACAGTGTGAGCTGAGCAGAAAACATCCCTTGCTGATGAATCTCCTTCCTGTGGTGCTTTTCCAAGGCAGGCAGACACCTCCCAGCAGCCACCCCTGTGCACAACCCCAGCCTGCATAACAGGAGCATGACTGCAGTGCTCCAGCCCTGGAAAAAACCTTCTTTGGCTGTTTGTGTGGCCAGAGGGGAGGGGAGCAGCTCTGGGTGGTGAGGCACCGATCAGCTGCAGAGGTAGCGACCCAGTCTGGGCTTTAGAACTCAAGGCAGCATTTAGGGAATTCAGCATCAGCTAATCTGGAATCGTTTAGGTTAGAAAAGACTTGTAATATCATCGGGTCCAACCCCCTGCCAAGGCCACTACTAAGCCATGTCCTTAAGCACCACATCTACACATCCCTTAAATCCCTCTATGCAAACCTCCCTGCTTGCATTCAGCTCCTATTAATGTTAATGGGACTTAGGCACATGCAACAAGGGCAAGCAGACCCCTTACAAGAGCAAAAACATAAATTACACCTATGTACAGGCAGAGCAAGCCTTCAGCTTGCTGTTTTACTATGCCAAGAAAGATGCACTTTCCTTTTTAAGAACTTAGCAGCTTTAATTATTTAATTTTTTTTTATGGAACAAGTCAATGGAGTTGGTAAAATAATGCAGCACAATCTGAGAGTTTCTCAGTTTCCCATCACACCACTTGGCAAAGGCTGTCCACAAACCTGTGCAGAGACTAGGAAACAAGTTTAGGAATTACTAGTGTCTCCAAAATACACCTTTCTGAGGTTTAAGTAGGTGTCATGCTGTCCCTGCAGTACAGAATTAATTTCAAAGAGGTTTTGACATTTTCCCTGAGGAATTCACCCAGCCTCTGTATTTTACACCTGAGTGTACCTGTCACTCATATTCATTAGATGAAAATGTAGCTGGGAGCTTAACAGGAAAGCATGCAAACTTTAAAAGGAAAAATGGTGAAGGAAACAAGGATCAAGTACAGAGCAGGCTCAGGTGTCAGCTCTGGCCATCAGGAGCCAGGAGTACCAGAGAAGGTGAGCTGACCTGGAATCCAGCTGAGGTAATGGATATCACCCCAACAACTTCACCAGAGCTCGGACTGATGCTCCAGCTCCAGAGATTAGAGGAGTGATCACTTTCCTTGCAGACAAGGCCAGGTGATAAAAGCTGCCATGGTGACCAGAGAAGCCCTCATTAACAGGAGCACAGGATCTTTGAGCCAGAGAGCAGTTTCCTGATCTGTTTACATATTTTTTAGAACAAGGAGTCCTGCATCTCAGACTATGTGTCCTGGCTGTTACTGCAATATAAACATCATTAAATGACTGTTTTCCTACCCAAAAGCCAAAGTATAAGTGCTGATGCAGCACGATGATTGAGATAAGAACTGTTGTTTTCAGAGTGAAGGGACACAATCTGTGGGAAGTTCTTTGTTTCCAGGCAAAGAACTTCAGCTACCAAGTGAAAAAAAAAAGCCCACAGTCAAGTTTCAAGTTCTTATTCTTATTCCACAGGTTTACCCTGCCTGCTGCCTTGCTCTAACTCTACACTGTGCCAGCAAGGCAGCACATTAGTCAAATATGAGACCATTAAGTTATATCTCTGTAGATATGGGATATAACCCCGTGAAATATAAATGCACTGCAGAGGAGCAGAGCATGGTTCTGTTGTGCTCCTGTTAACAGTCCTGCAAGGAACCTGCAGCTACAATGCACAGCCAGATATTTTATTAGGCTACATTTCTCCTGGCATACATGAGTCACATAAAGTACATAAACTCATGAAGTCCATCCAAGACTGGCATAAATCAGGGGTAACACCAGTGGAGCCAATAGAGTTGCACTGGGGTGAAAGTGGCATAAATCAGAGGCTGATCAGGTACACATTTTCTTTAAGGTAGACAGACCATTAAGTGGCTTACATAGACTTCTTATCACATTACAGTTCTGTAAGGTAAATAACAGTCACCAAGCACTGTATATAATGAATTGCAGCCTGCAACATACAGCAAATGGCCATTTTTCTCTGGGAATCTCTCAGCTCAGAGCTCTGAGACCAAAAATAATGGGCAATATTCTCCAGCATTCATGTGTGACATTGCCATTAGTATTAACAGGAGGTATGTGCCCAAAGTCAGGATGTATTCATCAGCAGTCTGAATTGGATATCACAGAGGCTCCCAATGAACATTCCAGTTTCATCCCCAGCCATGACCCTCCCAGGGAGCAGCCACAGCTCTTTAATGGCCTTTGCACAGGAAAATATTTATTTGGTGTCAGGTAGGGCTGGAATGAGAGGAAGCAGGGCAGTCTGGCATCACTCACCTCTGAGCCTCAGCCCCCAGAGGAGCCCCACAGGGCAGCCCAGCTGGCAGCAGCACTCACTGGTGCATGCACTGGGTGTCTGTCACAGGAAACAGCAGCAGGACTCAGGGGCTGCATGGCAGCTGAAGCCTGAAGAGAGGAACAGAAGAAGTGACCACAAAGTTATAGGACAGATCAAGAATTTTACAACTTAAATGGCCAGCCTGCTTTCCTCTCAGTAAAGCCTGCTTTCTGCCTATATATACATTCATTGTATGTTGGAAGGGCAGCAAAGAGATCAGAGTTTGTTTAGATTGAAGTTTAAAAGTAATTTGTCTAGATCAGGGTAGAAAGATGCTTAATATACACATTAATTACTTAATTTTTAAATTAGACTTCAAGGTGACTGGAATACAGAGTTCAACAGGCAACCAAAGTGTAACTAACACAGGCAGAGCATGCATGTGTACACAGCTCTGTTAACAGGAACAAATTGCTTCCTGCCCTGAATTGCACCTAAGAAGAGCCATAAGCTTGTTCAAAACTAAATATACACCACAGCATATGTACTTGCTAAGAAGGTCATTAGAACACAAAGCTTGGGGAGACAGCTGTGCCAGGAGAAAATAAATATAAAAATAAGATGTAGTGGAATCTGTGCAAGAGAAAATAACTGAAAAGACACAGAAGGCCAGGGAGCACAGCTGCTTGAAATAATTCTTTAGAAAAGAAATGGTGCAGCTGCATGCCTTAACCTAACCTCCTGTCTCTGAAGGTATGAACCTTGGCAATGCTATTCCTGCCCTACTCAAGTGTAAGCATCTGGCACTGCAGAATGCCTTATGGAGAGCCAAGGATGAGACTGCCCATCCAGCCTGAAGAATTAGTTTATAAGATTCTGGAGGTCTTGGCTTTGCAGTTTAATAAGTCTCCCTTGCAAAGACTTTCTCCACTGCTCTAATACAGACTTCTCTCAGCTCTAAGTGTGAGGGCTTAATCCCAGAGTTACTGGCTTGTCAACAGAGTCTCCCACAATACTGTCCACACCTTGGACAAGCTGCAATTATTGTAACAGAACAACATAAACAGGGCTCTAACCTAAACCTGTGATACAATAGAGGGGTCAGGGGGAAGCTAATCCAAAAATTCAGTGTGCACCCCCTTAAACAAGGAATTTGAGTGCTAACTAAAAATAGAAGGTGAGACTATCTGACAGCTAAATTGCCAGTGGTAGCTTAGCATGGGTTCGGTTACATTGCTCAGCGACCCTCAGTGAATTAAACAGATTGAAATGCTAATGATAGAGTGAATTCCCAGCACAGAGGTAGAATAAAGTAGTCAGATTAGGCTTCAGACAAGGTGAGTTCAACGGCAGCAAAGAGATCAGAGTTTGTTTAGATCAAGATACAAAAGTAATTTGTCTAGATCAGGGTAGAGAGATGCTGCTTTAAAGCTTAGGGGCTCCCCAATGTTCAGTAACACGTCAAAAGCAGTGTAGACCTGAGAAGCTTTTTCAGTGACTGCTATTTTATGTGATTTCTGTCAACACTGGAACATTTCTTACTGGTCTCAATACACTCCTAATGACATCGTCATTTATCTCCTAATTAATTAAATGCTACTCTGATGACAGATGTGTGACAGTTCACCTGGGCTGTCACTCAGACTCTACTTGTTTCTTCTCACTGGGTATTCCAACCACTTTAGTGCTGCAGTGAAACCATCACTGTGGCATTTCTTCTCTTTGGGGTTTCCAGGTGTTCTCCATGGCATCACAGCTTCACAAGTACACAGAGGCTCATCCCCACTGCTCCTCCTAAAGCTCAGGAAGCACAAAGGAGTCACAGGCTTGATCTTACCTGCCACTGCACAGACCTAGTCCAGGCCAGCTGCTCAATAAAGTTTAAACCCCAAGCTAACAATAATGGAAAATGATACTCACAAAGCACACACAAAAATTAAGACCTGAACTTGAAACTCCACTCAGGGTTCACCTGTTCAAAACAGCTCTGGAGGCTCTCCAGAGCAGATGTATTAATACATAAATTCCAGGATCAATTTAGCCTTAAACAACTGAGCCATCCCTTCTCTTCCAAGGTCACAAGGCAAGTCAATGCCATTAGATTAAAACCAAACTTGATATAAGATGCACTGTCCTCGCAGTGAGGGCAATTAAAGACCTTACTTGACAAGATAGCAGGCTCACCATCACTCAGAGCTTTAAAAATGGGATTAGGCATCTTTCTAAAGGATGTGTTTCAATTCACTACCCTTGTAATTCAGGATAGTTATTCTCGTAAGAAAGTGACATTGTGCCTTGTCATTCACCTATCAATCAGCAGTGTCATAATACTTCAGTGTCACTTGTCTGTTTCCATTACAATAAATAAATAAAAATTACGTATTCTAGTCAAGAAAAAGCAATGTAAGGCAGTGTAAGGTCAGGGGAGGTGTAACATGTCATGCCCCTGGGAGTTGCTTTTGCTGTAGTGCTTATATGAAGCTGAGAGCAAGAAATCCAAGCTCTGTGGCACCCGTGTTTTCAGGCTAAGCACCAGACCTCACCATCTGGTCATTGGGTTTATTACCATATAAGAAAAACTACAAGAAAAAAACATCTTCCAGAGTGATAATTTGACTTAGGTTGCCCTGCTTGACACAAACAGGACCAGTTTTGAGATGGCAGCTGACTTGGCTCAGCTCAGCCAGACAGGCTGCACTTTGAGCAGTCACTTCTCAGACATCACATAAGGGATGGGACTCACTTCTGCCTTCCTCTTCAACGAGGCCAGTTGTTGGCTTAGTCTCAGTATTACTGCAGGAAAAGGCTCTGTGGCCAGTATTTAGGAACTGTGTCAGGCAGCTTTGGTGACTGCCCATGAGGCACCACCCTCAGCACCAGCAGTTAGCATGATCTAGGAGCAGTGAAAATCTGAGGAGCTACAGTCCCTCAAGTGCAGAGGAGCTGACAGCAGAGTCTCACCCCTCGTGGTTCCAGGCCAAAATGAGATGCAGCAAGTGGAAATAATTCTTGAGAAGCAGAGCCCTGATGTGCTTTCTCCATTCATAGTAACAGTCCACTTTATGCCAAGTGACTCATTACTGTGAGTGAAGGGAACGTGATTCAAGCAGAAAAGCTTGTAATTTGCATAGATTACTTTCCCACTTGGTTTCCATGCTGTGAAGTAACAGGGACTGCCTTCAAGAGAAAAAAGAAAAAAAAAAAGAGTTAGTCCCATGAGTAATTCTTTGCTTAAGTATTAAGATACAATAGATTGAAGAGACATTTGGATATGGCAATCTAGAGGAAATAAAAACAAACCAAGCATTGTGTTCCAGTTATTTCTAGTGTTGCGAAAGTGAACAGAAACTATTGTTCAGAGAATGCTTCAAACACCCTTGCAAAAGAAGAAATAAATGTTTCTGTGAGCCCATTGAAGAAAGACAGAGGGGGCAGACTCAGCCATGAGTTGGTTGGATTTCAAGATTTGTTTTTCTCCCTCGGCTGAGTGCATCTTGTGGTTTTTGTCAGTGGTGACACCACCCTTACCAGCCTCCGAGGAAAGGCCATTGCCAGGCTGGTGGCTCCCTCTGAACAGGGTGTGTTCTCCTTCAGACTTGCACCTTGCTCTGGGCACTGCAGCATTTCACAAGATGAAACTCAGAGAGCTTGCAGCATTCATATATCCAACCATTAACCTAAAACTAGGATGTGATTTCACTTGTAACTGCACTGAAATGCAGTGGCTGCAGTGGGTAGTTTGCAATTCCTTTTGCTGAAGCGCTTGCTGGCAGAATTGTGATAAGAATAAGCAACTGGTTCCAGTAAAGTCACAAGGGCAAACCCAAACTGCTTACTTTGTGCATAAATGGTTTAATGTGACAGGGCATGGGGAAAGCAGAAGATCTGTCAGAAAAAATAAACAGGAAAGAAAATATTACTTTAGAATAACTCATCCCAAGTAAATTGAGCTTTCTGAAGAAGCAGCTTGTAAACTATTGGGTTTCAAGAGTTGCATCCTGGCTCCAGGCAATGTATGATGCTTCACTTGACAAACAAACCAAGCTCAAGAAAAACAACTTTGCTAGATTAAGACAGCAAGGAGGTTTTGGGAAGAACTGAAGTGACACACGGCTCACCAGATACAAGGCTCATTTCACTGCAAGAGAGCAGTCAGGCTTCAGAGGAGGCAGATAAACAAACAGACCTGACACCCACAAAACCTTTCCCCACACTCTGAACCAACTGGAAACATTAATAACACCATATTTTAGGAAATGTACAGAAGAAAAGTTGCACCTCCTTACAGCAGCACAATGAAGACATGCAAATCAATATGCAGCTACAAGCCTGGAGCATTACTCAGCTCTCTATCTCCAGGCCTGCATCTCCTGAAGCCTTCTCTTTCTGCCTTGCATTTTTTTATTTCCAGCTCCATGGCTCAGAGGTGTTTACATACCTGAAATTGTCCTCCTGAAAGAGGAGGTTCACCTCTGCTGTCCTGAATGATAGGAAATGTCACTGCAGAGATGGGTGAAATTACACCTGTACAAGGCACTCCCTTAACATTCTAAGAAATTTATTTTGAACCTCATATAATATACCAACTGGAAAATAAAGGGAAGACAAGTAATAGAAAGGCACTGCAAAAGTAAATAGAATTCAGCAATTACAGAACAACAAAAAAAATCCCTGTGAAGACTCTGATCATCAGCTTCACATTTTGATCTGGTCCATCTCAGCATGTCCCAGCATCTTTGGCAAGTGGGCCATGTTTACAAGTGGCAGGAGCTGGAGAGCTCAGCTCCAACTGAGATCTCCATGGGCAGAGTTCCCTGAGGAAACAATCAAAATGTGCTGCGTGAGAGTTTACAAATGGGGAACTGAGGCACAGGAAGGTTAATAATAATGCTACTTCACATTTCTTTATTGCTTGAAATGGCCCACACCCTTTACAGACGTTTACCCTCCCAATACCCTGGGGAGAGGTGACTGGCTATTATTATCCTGTTTTTTCACCTATGGGGACAAAGAGGGTGAAATGTGTCAATCCTCAGGCCAAAATAGCTGACAACTGATGAACATACTTCTCTCTTTCAAGTCCAGGCCCAGTGCTTCATGAAATATCATAGCATTCTCCTTCTGATCAACCTTGTCTTATTGCTCCTCCTAACTGCAGACATTTGGAACGCCCTTAACTCCTTTGCTGGAGCAATTGGTTGGAGGCTCTGTCCTCACCCATTCAGGACAGACAGCTCCTTTCCCTGGGACACCCCTCTCCCCCAGCCCCACCTGCCAGCAGCACTCCAAGTGTGTGTCCTTGCTGGGCTCACTCCTCCTAAACATCTTACCACAACCACTGATTTTATTGCTCCAGTGCTTCCTGTAACAATCTCCTCCTTTTCCCCTGCTTTTCCAGCTGAAGGAGGACCACACAGGGCTGGGAATGGGGCTGAGCAGTGATTTCTAGGAGGATAAATAGAGAGAAGGGAAATAGCTACCAGGCAATGTTGACATAAGTCTGAGTGGAAATTAAACAGTTTCTCACCAGCAGAGTAAGCTCCTGGAACAGGCCTGGGAGAGCAGCAGTGGGGAGTAAATGTCAAGGACAAAAAAACCCCTCAGCCAACCTATGTAGTTTTAAGATGGAGCTTGTTCAGTCTATAAGGATGGGCCTTATAGGATGATCTGCTGATGGAAGAGGTCTCCCCAACTGGAACTCCCTATGACTTCCTTGAAAGCACTGAGCTGTGAGCTCCCAGCCACCAAGGGTCATTTCTGTAAAACCTTGGCTGCCAAACAAACAAAGTGGTCATCAAGAAAATTGCATGGAAGAACTCAGCTCCAGCTCTGATCCTGGCACTTTGGGATTCTGTGTCTTTCTGTCCTGAAGGAGTGCCCCTATCCCTCCTGTGGCAGGGGCTGCTCAAGTCCCACCTTAAAGAGGTCCTGGGATGCTTTGCCATAGGGCTGGCAGTCCCTGACTCCAGTGGCACTCAGTCTGCCTCCCTGTGTCACACCCAGCTGCTCTGATTCATTGTGCTCTGCTCCAAAATAAATTTACAGCCAGGGCTTCCTGTCCTGGCATGTCCTGTGGACACGGATCACAGGCCCCTTTGGTCAAGCCTGTGGAGAAGGCTGTAACAACAGCAAGGGGAGTTGGTGTGATTTAGGAAATGTTGGGAACTCACATTGAAGAAGGCAGCTCCTCCACTCCCCTCCTTGCTTTCCCAGGGTGCAGACTGCCCTCATTCCCCCAGGATCAGCCATGCAGTGGGCACACTTCCAGCCAGAGGGGATGAAAGGGCTGGGTCAGAGGCCAGGTCCTCCTGCCTGACCCGGGGGTGTCAGAGGCAGCCAAAAGCCATCCATCAATGGGAGTGCTTGGTTATCACAGAGGGAGTGCTCAGGGCTTTGTCTCCATGGGAAGATTGTGCTGGGATCGTTCAGGGTATGAACACAAATTGCTGTGATCCCTTGGGGCCCTTCTTCACTAGAAAAATGTGAGTCTTTAATGCTCATTAATTAACTGCAAGGAGGCTTTGCGGGAAATGTGCAGTTTTCACATGAATCAGGAGGTTATATTAAAGACCAGCTCTGCATATTTTATTGCTGTATGATTCAGCAAAACTCAAGCATGCACTTAAGTTTAAACATCTGCTTAGAGCTCAGTGAAGTCAAGGGAAGGCTGCTAAAACACTTCAGTGAATTGGAGCTTATTTAGACTGGGTGTGATTAGACTGGGCGTGATTTAGGAATCAGCAATGAAAAATTTCCAATACTTTACCTTGTACTGTAGTACCTGAACACGTCCTCCTTTCCATTTGGCTGGAGAACTGCTAGCACTAGGAGAATAGATAAGACCCAAGGGTAGAGGAGATTCAAGGCAGGCAGTCACAGCACAGAGGTGCATGTTTCTCCCTGCTGGACTAAATCATCCCAGTGCAATAAGGACCCCTGTGATGGTTTACTGCTTTCCTGAAGGCTGTTGCACCACAGACTGAGCTGCTTTGTGCCAAGAGGCTACAAGGCACTGCCCAGATATGCTGAAGAGCAGAATAAAACTGCTGTGTGTGTTTAAGGCACTCACAGCCCTGGGATGACGAGGTGCTGCTGTAAAGTTGGGAAGATCAGCTGTGCTTTTCTGCCTGGATGGTAGCAGGCATAAAGCATGCGCTGCCACAGGAAGGCAATTCCTGGAGCTCTCTTCTCCTACCATAAGTCAGGGATATAAGAGGGTCCCAAAACCAGTAAAAACAGCATCCTTCAAGCTGGGGCAGCACTTGCAAGACCCAGGCTGTTCCCCACTCAAAGGGCTCCTTTCCTCCACCAAAGCCTAATGATTGTTCTTTAACCTTAAAATATGACAGCCCCATGCTGCACTTCTGTGATGCTGTAATCACATCTTCCTACAGACACCCTTCTCGTGCAGCTTAAATATTTTACAAATACATGTCTAAGTACAAATCTACCACATTAACTCTTGTATGGAGGGTACTTATTTTCAGCTGTGTGGCTGGGATTCCTATCAGTGTAATTTACCATGCAGCATGACAGAGCTGAGCTAGAAGGCACAGCTTTTACTAGCTAAAATACAATAAAATATGCTACACCGTGTTTCACAGATGAATCACTTCTAAACCATGCCTTTAAGTATTGTCTGTCACTGCAGTTCCTTATTGTAATGCTTTGTGAGAGCTAAGAGAAGGAGAGAGAAATTGCCCTTTAAATCTCTACAAAGCCTATCGTCTAGAAGAAATTAGGGACATTTGTTCTTGGAGTCAGGTGGGTTATGTAAGAGAAAGCTATACACAACAGGTTTGATATGAGTGGAGGTCAGGCAAATGTGTTTGCACTTATTTATATTATATTTCATTCTAAGAATATTCGAGGACCAGCTCACAAACTAAACAACACCCAAACTCTGTAAGGAGCAGCTGCAGTCCAAAAGGTGCAGACAACTGTTTCCTCTCAGGCCAAGCGGCCAGGCCACCAGCACAGAGATCCCAGGAGAGCAGAACTTCCTGATCCCTGCTCTGAATTAGCTCCCGAGGGGAGAGTCAGCAGCACGTGGACAAAGCAAAGGAGCAGGTCAGACAAATCACCAGCAGACAGTCAGGCATTCCCATCTGCAGCCAGTGCCAAAAGGCCTTTGCAGCCCTTGCTCCAGAGGACAGCACTGCAAGTGCTGGCACGAGCCCCCAGCAGCCACAGAAAGCCTGAGGAGCAGACAGCTCTTTGGGAAATGGCCACACAAAACCCATGCCAGACATCTCTGATCACTTCCCAATGTCTGAAATCAAACTGAAGCTTGAAAGACCCAAAGTTCCAGGGAGAGAGCAGCAACCTCCAGTGGGATGTCTAGAGTCTGGCCAAAGTCTTTATAATTTATGTGATTGGAAGGCACACACTTCATTCCTGCTGCTAAATACATCTCCTCTCACCAAATACCCAGATTTCCCCTGCATTCCCTGGCTCCCCTGCAAGGGCCCTGGAGCCAAGTGTCAGGTTATCCCCAGGGCTGCTGGAGCCCTTCACAGCCCCAGAAGTTTTTCTGTAGATTGCAGCAGGTTGTTTCTAAACCAGCCTCTCCTAGGCTCTCCTCTCAGCTCTTTAAAGCTGCCTCTGAAATAATGCAGGACAGACAAAGCTGGAGCAAGAGGGCTGTCACAGCTGGTAGCCACAGCTGCAAGTTTGGGCCAGAACACATTGTTCTTCCTGCTGCAGATGCTTTCTGTTAATAAGACACTACAGAGATCTTTTCTTCTTTGGGGATCTACAGCACAAACCAAAACCAAGGTCAAAGTCCATTTTTTCACTTACCATTTTGGAAGGATAAACAAGAAACACTTCAGTCCCATCTGACATAAATTAATAATGCTCCTGTTATTCACTACCTGTCAAAAGTTTCATCCAGCCCAGGTTTTGAAAGATATCTAAAGGAGATTACAATGCTGCATGATAGAAGCACACTTGACCTTGAGGGCAGAGCTGCTGGGCAGCAGTGCAGGAGCTGGGCATGGCTGCTGCACAGGGGCGCACACACACAAACAGCCTGGGCCCTGCAGGGCCTGGCACTGAGCTGCCAGCTCTGGGATGAGTGTTAGAGCTCCCTGTACACTGAGGGCAAAATCCAGAGTGTCACTCCAGAAGGTTTCTCACCTGCAGTTCTGAAATCCAGTGCAGCAATCATTTCATGCTGAACCACAGCATTCAGCTTCAGGGATGAAGGCCCTCTGGACTCTGTGCCGCTGCCTTTTGGTCACATAGAGCTGAAAATAACATAACCAGAGGGGAAAACCTGAGTATCAGCTCAGTGACAGTCCTTTCTGCCAACCTCAGAGCAAAGTGCAATTTGGGCTTTCTGGAGCTCCCTGTCATGCCCAGGGCTGGTGCCAGGCTTGCATGCAGCCCTTGGTGCAGCTTCCCAGTTCACTCCACCCCCAGAGTTTGGTTTTCTGTCTCAGGCTGCACAATTGAGTGTGTCTCCGTGCCAAAAGGGAGCATTAAGTTAGTTGGACTAGTGCCTTCCTGTACATTTTGTAAACAGTTTGAGACCACGGGGTTTCACTATGTCTCATGGCTTCTGCAGAAGGAGGGTGAGTCAGAGCTGGCCAGTGAAGAAAGCTGTTGTGTCTGGGACCCTGCTCCACCAGTTTCAGAAGCTGGAAGGTGCAGATTATGCTTTGCATGTATGTTTAGTTCACTTTCTTCAGCTGCCCTAGTGGTCTGAGAATGGGAGCCATAAGGAAGGGAGAATTTTTCCTTTTCTTTTTTGACAAAACCAGAAAAACCCCAAAACCCTCAGAAGTATCAAGTCTCAGTTTTATGCAAGAACCTTCACAAAGCTCCTCCAAGCATTTGCATCTAGAATAGCTCTGTCTCCTGCAGGCACTAACACCTGCTCACATCAATTTCCATGGAGCATCACCTCACCCTGTGGTCCCTGCAGTCACACAGAGCTCAGAGCAGGGCAGAGCTGACAGATTTTCCAGCCCCTCACTGCCTCCATCCCAGCCATGCAGCACACAGGAAGGCTGTGTGAATTTCAAGGCATGCAAATCTCTGCCTGTAAACCTGGCTCTGCTCTGCTGCTCTTTCAGCCCCAGAGATTTATGTATCCCCTCTCTTTTAAGTAAACTCTTTTTCAAGAGCATGACTGCAGAGGTAAGTTCAGGCATAGACCTGTGTAAATTATATGGTTGGAGCTCCCCAGGGATCAGCATTGTTTCTGCAGTCTCTCCACTGCTCAGGCTCCCCCTTATGCTCCATAATCATTTCCAGGTCCCTTCATGCTCCCTGACTCAGGGCTGTAACTCAGACTGTCACCCTCTGTGCTGGAGAGGCCCCTCTGGCAGCTCCACTGGCCTGGAGCAGTGGTGCCCTCCCAGCTGCCAAGGTGGCACTGGGAAAGATGCCCTGGGTCACTGGGGGACACTGGGCTGTCAGCTCAGGGCACCTGGCTGTTTTTAAAGATCATCTATTTCCCGTCTACATTGTCAAACTGAGTAAAAGTTGCCCTTGCAGCAAACGACTTCTATAAAGATCAGAAATGGATGTTGCTTATTGCCTATTGATTTCCTGGATGAGGAATGTGCACATGGCACAGAGCAGAGCGTTAGCACTACAAACACTTGTGTAATTATGGGAGAAGTGCACATTAATGAGGGGCTGACTATATTTTCCTTAAGTGGAAAGTGTATTTAAAAGGAGAAGGCTCCTAGAGCTTTTGAAGTCAGGAGTTGTTAAACAGTCAGCAGCTGGAAATTTAAAATTCCTTCACATCAAGGCTCTGTGATCAATAGGGATTAAATCAGACAGGACCTTTCAAAGCTTCTAGCCTTATTAACAAATAGGTATCTGAAACACAGAGGCACTGCTGGAGGCATCTGTGAGACCTTGGTGCCAGAGAGAGGCAAGGGGACAGAGGCTGAGGCAGAGACACGACCATTGTACCTGGCTGATGTACCTGGCTGACTCACCTGCAGCCACAGCAGCCAAACTGGGTGCTCATTTCCCTTCTTTTGCTGCTGCCTGACACATACCAGTCTGAAGAGGTTTCCTGCCAAGTTTCCAGGCCCCCTACTCCTAAATGTGCCATCATGGTGCCCCTTTCCCACCAGGAGCTCTGTTCCAGCTCAGATGCTCACAGAGGATCCAGTTCTGTGAGCAAAGATTCCCCTGTGGGCAGGGAAGGTGCAAACAGCTGCTTTGCATTTCCTCCACTTGCAGAGTTTAACATCCCTGGTTTTATTCTAATAAAACCCGATCCAGTCCCTGGTTTGGGTTTTTTCTTTAAACTTGAAGCTTCTCAATCTTCTTTGGGGACCAAAGCTTTGTCTGAGTCAGGGTTGCATCTCAGGGTACTCTGTAAGTGCTTCCAGGGCCTTTCTTGGAATTTGTTTCTGCTGCTACTTTAAAACCCCAAGGCCTGTGAGCTACAGGTGAAGTAAGATTCCCTCTGCTACATGTTCACATCACAAAGCAAGGGGACTGATTTGTACAGAGATCAGCAGCTCATATCTCTGCACCTTTGGACTCACCTTAGTCTTGTCTGAGCACTGCTATTGTGAAATGCCGGTTCAGGGATCTTCACTTTCTGCTGTCACCTGAGAATCACTGAGAAGAGGAGAACAATGGATCTGAATATCTTTGTCTTTTTCTATTATTTTTTTTAATCAAGAAATGAGAATCCTTTCCCTTTCCTGACAGTTTTCCATTCAGTGTGGACTGAAAAAGCATTAGGTCCTGGGTCCATAGAGAAGGTGTCCAGGCAGCAATTCTGTAAAAGAGGAGCAAAGATTAAGAGCTTTGCTCTAATCAGTTCCAGAAATCAATTTCTTCTTCTTGTAGGATTTTTCTAATACACTAGTTTTGCAGTTTTACTAGAGTTATAAACATGCTGTCTTTTGAAGAAAAAAATAGATTTCTGCAAAATTAAGAAATCCAATCCCTTTCTTTTCTTTGTATCCAGCAGGTGCAAGCTACCAAAAGAGATTTCCTTCTCAGCAGCCTCTGTATCCAAACACTGCAGTTTCATTTACAATATTTCCTGCATGAATGAGCAAAGCCCTGTTGCTGCCACGTCTTTGGATTTACGATGTGGACAACAGTTTGTTATTTTCTTCTCTGCCTCCCAATCGCCTTTGTCTCGCTCGGGTGACAGGGATCCTGAGGTGAGCCACGTGGAGACTGCTGTGCATCTTCCCCATGTGGCAGCGGGAGCTTGGGAACCCTGGTGATGTCTCACAGAGAGGCACTGCAGTGACAGATGTGGCACCAGCACAGCTCAGAGCCCAGCCCGCTGTCCCAGCACTGATAAGCAGAGGGAAATGTTTTCTGCTGCTGGAGATGGCAGCATCTTGGATTCATCCTGGCACAGTGCCACTGGTGTGTACAGACAGAGCATTTCATGTTCAAAGCTCTGCTCTGGCAATGCCCTGACCTCGGTGTGCCGTGGCATGGGAGGATTTCTGATGGTGCAGCTGCACAGGGGGCACCGCTGCTCACAGTGAAAACCACTTACCCTGGCACTGCTCTGCCCTCTGATGGTTTGGCACCCAGTGAGAGACCTGCCTGGACTGTCAACTGTGTGAAAACCACTCACCTGGCACTGCAGCCTGTCCTTTGAGGGCCTGACACCAGGGGGGATGGATGGAGAACCCCATTGGTGGCTTCTTGGCCTGGCAGCACGTGGTTGTGGCGCACAACATGACACTCCAGGATGTGACTTCACCGACCACACTGGTCTGTGCCTGCTAAATCATGTCAGAAGTTCAGAAAGGACATCCTTCTGATAGCGTGGCACCTGTTTTGGGCAACAGAACCATGTGGAAAATAAGGTTACAGCAGCTGCAGCAGCTTCCTCTTCCCCCTCTTCACTCCAGGTCAGCTTCCCACACTGGAGGCCACAGCAGGAGGAGACTGCAATCCTGCATCCCTCTGAAAGCACCAGCAGACCTGGGTGAGGAGAGCTGGATCTCTGCCTCACATTGTGCAAAAGTAGAATGAGTACTAGAATATTATGGAAATTACATCAAATGGGGAAATGCCTTTTTTGTGCATATTTTTTTTTCCATTCCTCCCCCCAGCCCAGCAAAATGACAGACTCCTACAACTTGCAAGCTTCCTGAGGATGCCTTTATCAGCCCAAACAGGGATTGTTTGTAACATTCCTCTCTTTCCCTCTTCCACATCTCTTTTATTGGCTGGCTCAGCTTCCGCTGCCATGTGCTGCTCCCTCCTCCAGCAGAGGAAATGAGCAGCACACACACTAGGCAGGAGAACAATATTAATGAGAGAATTGGGAACCATTTGATGCAAATTACCCTGGGATCAGGCTGAGCCCAGCCACTACTCCCCATCTAATATCATTTTTGTTTTTAAGAAATATCTAAATGCTGGGAGCAAATTTCAAGAGTTGTTTGTACTTGGCCCCAGTGTGGGTGAGACAATACAAAGCAAACTCTCATGTGCTCTGCCCCAAGGAGGCTGATTTCTCCTGCACTCTGATTTCCTCCTGCCCTGAGAAGTAGGTATCATTTGTTACTCAAGCATTTCAAATGCCAAATGTGGCAGGATTTGTTCTAATCAAACTCAGCAGTACTGCTGAGAAAGCAGCTCTGAATCTGAGATACAGTTTTTTTCTTTGAACATTTCCTTTCCGTTGCTAAACCTTACAAGCAATTTCAGCATCTGGCAAGTTTCTTGGTTGGGTTTCCTGGGACTAGACCCCACAAAACCACACAGTTCATCTCCTTCCCCAGGGAAAGTCTGGGTAACAAAGTCATCCCTGACAAACGTTCACCCTTTTTAGAAACCTTCCTAAGATGTAGGGTTTGTAGCCTCCTCATGTGAGCCATTTGAGTGCTCCATAATTGCAGAAAACACATAACACCTTGGGAAAATCTCCATAATACTACCTTAACCCCATCCTACCATCTGCTTTGGTTTTAGTAATGACATCTCTTAGCTCAGGGAAAATCTCTGACTCAGTATTTGCAGGACAATGGCACACACAGGTATCATTGCAGGGGGAAAGCTTCCAGGAACAAATGGATTTAAAGAGATTTGCTGAGCCTTAGTTGTGAGGTTAACTCTGGATATGAGAAGAAAACACAGAGGGACTGTGAGGCATCAGAAGAGCTGAGTTAGACTAAGAGGGGTGCAATGCAAGAGCAGAGAGGTTCTGTCCTCACAGGCGTTGTTATCCAGTGGAAGGAATGACCTTACAGAGGGCAGGACTGAAACAAAGGTCAGCCTGTGTGGTCAGAGTGCCAGGACAGCCCTTTCTCCACCCCAGCTCTCACAGGTGCCAGCCCACTGGGAACCAGACAGGACCTGGCCACTCTTCAGGCACTGAGCATCCTCAAGGAGATTCACTCATTACTGACTGGTGTGATGTGGGACTCTGTGGTGGAAGGGAAAGCACCTCTGAGTCATCCCTGCCCTGTTTACTGTCAGCAGGGATGCTGAGAAGGGAGCAGCCTCCTGGGGCACCTCCTGCCACAGAGCCACCTCAAATGGCCCAGGCTCTGCAGAGCACACAGAGAGGCTGCTGGGGCCAGGGATTTCCTAGTGGGGAATGGTTCAGAGCAGAGGGAGCTCACTGTGGTTCCAGTTTGCACATTCCATGAGCTTTCACCTCCCGCGGGTGCTCCTGCATGCCCTCTCCTCAGGAATATGTGTATTTTGGGACACAATTCAACTTCCCTGCCAGGCAGATCAGCTGGGTTCCCCTGTAAAACACTCAGCCAATCCACTCAGAAGGGCTGGTGCCCCTCAATCCCCATCTCCCACTCCGAGCTGCTTCCCAGAGCAGTGGTTGCTGCCTCACAACCTCCTCATTGCTCAGGTCCAGGGGAGAGGACAACTTCTCTCCTCACAGACATTCACATCACCCCTGGTGCTGCACAAACATTCACAGCACCCCTGGTCCTGCACAAACATTCACATCACCCTGATCTGGTCCCACATCCCTCATCCCCCATCATCTCCAAATGCTGAATCCCACCTGGTCAAAGCCAAACCTGTGGATCCAGGGCTTGGTCCCAGCTGAGCAAAGCAAAGGAGAGCCTCAGGAGCACAGAGGCAAGAGGCGGCAGGCACTTTGTGTCCTATTCACACTCACACAAGGGTGCAGCTTGCCAGCATTTGAAAGTTCCCGTGTTCTAATGCATTTTTTAAAATAGGCTTTTTTAAAAGTCCTCTCACACAGAGAGGATTTTTTAATAAAATAGTATTTGAGGAAAGAATAAAGCTGGGATTTTGTTGAGGCCAGAGGGCCCAGATAACACTACTGAGTAATGAAATAGTGCTCAGCTAACCTAATGGGCTTATCTGGATGGTCTGTGGGTTTCCCTTTGTCTCCAAGCCAAAACTTGAGAAAACACCTGCAGCAAAAATCTTATCTGCACTCTTCAGTTTTCTTCCCTCCCTCATCTCCTGCACTGTGTGTTATAAATAGTTTCTTTCCCTCCTCCCACTATCCCATTTATCAGCACAGCATTGGTTTTGTTAAAATAACACTACATCTAGAACTAGGCTCCAAGCCTATTTGGAAGGATTTGTAAGTATTATACATTTCTTTTGTTCAGCAAACAGAAATAAAATGGGAATAAATCTGTGCAGGAGCTTGAGGCTGATACCCTGACCCTCCAGCAGAGACTGTGCACCAACACCATCAGTTCTGGCAATTCTTCTCAGCACTGAGCTGCTCTGAGTCCCTCTCAGGTGGCAGTGCCCACCCAGGGCAGATACAACATACATTGAAAAAAGGAATAATCAAAGAAGTTTAAGGCAATTTTGAGTAAATCAGGTTGTGCTGGCCTGGAGAGCACAAGGGCATCTGAGATGTGTCCAGGAGGCTGTTGTGGATGGTCTGAGCAGGGAACTACTGACTGCAGGGAAGGCAGATCCTCAGCTGTGCTTCAGTGCTTTTGGACAGGAGGATAAAGCAGAGCCCCAGACCCAGACACAGCTTTGGAAGAAAGGTGATTCCAGTCTGATGACCCTGAGGAAGGAAAAGCAGGTATTTGGGAGGTATTCATCCTGCAGGTATTTGGGAGTTATCCTGCAGTGGGAGTTACAAGGATAAAATGGCATCTCAGCCCCAGGTAAATGTATAAAGGGAAGAGCAAGAAGAAGAGGACAGAGGATGTCAGGACAATGTGCAAACATCAGAGCAGCTGACTGTGCATACCCAGAAATGTATCTGAGCTGGGATGCATCTCTCTGTACTGCAGAGGCATCTCTGTCCCCCTCATGATGACTCTGGGCTCCCTTTATAGTCACAGCAGAGAAAAGGGCCCATTTACAGAATGATTCATCTGACCTATTTTAGACATTTACTCTAGCCTACAATGACTCATGTCCTTGGGGTGCCCATTTCTTTCCTATAAACAAGAGTCTAGACAAGTAACTCAGATGTAGACATTCACAATTAGATGTCTACGTTTGGACAGATGAATTCTGCCTCTAATGTTGAACCAGAAATCAGCCTGGAAGCTCTGCCAAAGACAGCTCTGGTTGATAGCCACGATAGGGAAGAGAAACAGGGTCATTCATTCTTTTTGATGGTGCATAGCTCCCTGCACAAAGCGCTCAAAGCACTTGCTGAAAGATTAACCATCCTGTGGAGGGCTGTGACAGCATTCCTGGAGCAGCAGCAGGGACCAGGAAATGCAGATTCATTATTGCAACTATTTTTCTAAGCTGCCCCTACATCTCATTAACTGGTGTCAGATCCCTTTTCAATCAAAGTCATTGGCAAAAGGAAACACAAATCAGGTGAGTCTGGTGTGCCATCACCTCTTGGGGTGGTTGGTGATGGCACAGATGTGCATTTTGTGTGGGCTTTCACTCCCCTAGCCTTGAGAGGCCACAAGACAAGCTGGTGGCAAATCTCCTGCTAATCCCGAGGGTCCTTTCTGCTGTCAGCAGAATTAATGCTGTGCCTTCCACACTGGGGCTCTCAGAAGCTCCTCAGGCTTGGAGGTAGCTGGCAGGATCTTGTGATGCTTTAGGAACCAATAATCTGGACAAGTCAGGCCAGACCACTGGGAAGAGTTTTTGTTTTGACAGTTTTAAAGTGTTTCTCATTTCAGCCTGTCAGTCTGATTTCCTGTGGCTCATACATTCACACTGGCTGTGTCTCCCTCAACAACTTTGAACTCATTGAGCAATTTCAGCCAAATTTGACAGAGAGATAACAGCCTCAGAGACAATTCAGTTCCTCAAAGGTTTGCAAAAATAAACATCCACGTAAAGGAGAGAGATGTTATGAGTAACCTCAACTGAACAAAAGGCTGCAACGTGAGCTCAGCCTTGAGAATCAGCACCAGATATTCCTCAAGGGAAGGAGTCTGTGCAGATCACTCAGAGCCCAACCCTGGGAACAGTTTTTCTGACCTCCTCAGCAGCCCAGAGCAAACTAGTTTTACCCAGCAGCCACAGAGCACCAGGGTTTTTCTCCAGGCAGATTTGGTAAGAATCTGTTGAAGTTTGAGCACTCAGATTTGAAAAAGCAGTTCTGTTGGGTGGGTGAGTTCTGTTTTAATGATACAACTGCAGTTTCAAATGTGTAAAATCAGGATAGTTATTCCCACAGAGCTGAGTTTTGGAAGGGAAAGGTAAACATTTTCTGATTTAAAGAGTGTGATAGGGAGGCTCCCTTCCATCACATCCCCAGGACAACACTTCTGTGTCAGCAGGGAATTTGCACACTCTGGGCCAAGTTCTGCATGGCTCATTCCCCAGCCAGAGGCAGGTGCCAAAGGCTGTGGGGGCAGCCCTGCTCCCAGAGCCCTG